ACAGGCTTGAGTGCCAGAGATCGTGGTGCGCGTTGAAGTCACCAACTACCATACGGTTTTCACCTCTGAGTAGCGCACCTATTTCAGGGTGATATCCTGCCGGGCAGCTGGTGACAGGGGGTATGTAAACGTTAAATATTTCGAGCTCAACATCGCCTGACCGGATAGCAATACCCCGACATTCTAGGATGGTATCCCTGCGGTCGATGTCTGCTTCAATGAGACGATACTGCACGGTGTGGTGCGTGATGAACGCTAAACCTCCACCATTATCTCGCTCGCGATCTCGACGGTGCACGTTGTATCCGGCGCAATTCAACAGGGTTGAATTGCCGTGCAACTTCGTCTCTTGGACCGCAGCTATTAATATTCCATGCCTTCCCATAAAGACAGTTATCTCCTCGATTTTGCTCTGGAGTCCGTTACAGTTAAATTGTAGCACCTTTGTGTGCCTTGGGAGACCGATTGTGATGTGTGGTGTTAATGAGTTGTGTTGCCTGCCGGCCCCCTGCTGTACGTGCTGCAAAAGGGGGTGCTGCCTTGTGGTGGTGGTTGGCGGCGTCGCGGGGGAGGGATGCGACGGGGCAGCACAGCAGGGGCCCACATAGTCACTCGTCCAGTCACGCGTGTTGCGAAGTCCTGAGCATGCCCTAAAGTGGCACCAGCCAAGGCAAGAGTTGCACTTGACTGATGTCACGTTACGGTATATTCTTGACTGACAGACAGAGCAGATTGTCGGAGGGACTAGGAGTTGCCGGCGGCGGTGTGTGGGTGCTATTGTGTTTGTTTGTATGTCTATTGCTGTGTTGTGTTGGGGTGTGGGTGTGTTGATTGTGTGCTGCCCAGGCGGGTGGTGGTTTGCCGTGGAGGCAACAACAGCCCTTGGTCGGGTAAAACCCGAGTCATTCCGGTACATAGAACCGGCTGTCGTGGGAATGCTTGTCCTTTCCACCTACTGTTTAACTTTTACATTTCAAAGCTCCCTCAACCACCAGAGTGAGTCTCGATTGTCTCTTACGCCGACAATTGCTCGATCATGGCGACTGGGAATGGAATTGATGACCTGTGTTCGAAAGTAAACGGGTATCTCTCCGAACTTTCTCGCTTCTTCACTGCAAAGTGTCTAGCCCTCTCCCCTACGAAATCCTCTGCGACCCTGTTCACAACCTGGACGAAGGAGGTCAGGCTACCGCTAGGAATTCACGTCGATGACACACCAATTTCGGCGGTGAATAATGCTAAAATACGCTGAGTAACATTCGAGAGCCGCAACAAGGTCCTCAAGTCAATAGCCGGCAGTACCTGGGGCAAAGACAAAGAAACGTTGCTGGCAAAATACAAGGCAATAGGCCGGACGGTTTTAAACTACGCAGCACCAGTGTGGTCGCCGGGGACTAGTAGGACGCAGTGGATGAAGCTACAGACGGTACAAAACACAGCACTTAGGACGGCGACCGGATGCCTCCTGATGTCACCAGAACACCACCTCCACGATGAGGCGAAAATGCTCCCAATTAGGGAGCGCAAGCAGTTTCTGGTTGGGAGCCACACATGTGGCCACCCAAACAGACAGCTGCTTGCAGAGGAGCCCTCGCCGAGGCACGTCAGGAGGCATCTATATGAACTGACGGACGAAGTCCAGAGGATCATTAAGCAGCCTCTGGACCCGTCAGCTTATAGACAGGCCCTGAACGGCATTCACAGGGACGCAGTCTCGAGTTATGTAGACTCAAGACCTGTCAATGCCGTTCTAGGCACACAAACACCGGACATTGACGCGACGGAGCTCCATCTGCCTCGGGAGACCAGAACAACAATAGCCCAACTTCGCTCTGGCTACTGCAGCAAGCTAAACTCCTACCTGAGTAGGCTAAATGCGGATGTGCCGAACGAATGTCCGTCATGCGGAGATACACCTCACGACTCGAAAAATCTCTTCGCATGCCCGGAAAACCCCACAACCCTAACGGCGTCGGCCCTGTGGTCCGACCCCATAGGGGCTGCATGCGTCTTGGGGCTGCCGTTAGTGGAACTAGACGACAACGACTGAGATAACAGCCGATCTGGGCGGGGTTATTGTAGCCGCTACAACAACAACCAAAAAATCTGCAAAATTATTTCAAAAATGTATACACATGATATATACAGTGGCGAGTATGTAAATAGGGAAAAGACATTTTAGCAAGTTTTGGCTACTTTTCTTTGTTTAAAAAATGTGTATTATTTTTTTATGAAAATATATACATTTATAATAAAAAAAAAACACGTAAATCAAAATATCAAATTTTGTACAACAGTTAAAAAATTCGACAAATTAAATTGTATGCAGTTTTGTAGCCCATTAAATTTTAGTATAACAAAGTGTAAATTCGAAGTAGCTTGGACTTACCGCTGATTTTTGGCAATTTTTTGTTTGCGCATTTTCAACCATACAAAGTGTGTTTGACAATTTTTTGTATGGAGAAAATGAGCAACACCTTCTACAAAAAAATTTACCAAAACTCAACGGTAAAGGCGGAGCTCCATAGCATATGTGTGCGTTTGGCAGAAAAATTTAATATACAAATTTTTATGGCAGCACCACATAACAACGCATGAAAATGTAAGAAACTTGTATGAATTTCGATATCTAAGCGTAAATGTCAAACGCACGCATACGGATACGCATGCTATGGAGCTACGCCTTAAGTCGCAGCTACTTACAAATTACATATGGTTTTACTAAAATTGAATGGGCTGCAAAACTGCATACTCAGAATGTTTCTAAGTAATCTAATTAAAAAGCTAAAATTTTTGATGAAACTGTCGAATTTTGCTAATTTTTGTACAAAGTTTGACTTACATGGTTTTTCTTATATAACGAGCTACACTTTCATAAAAAAATAATTAAATCGAAAGGTGAATAGCCAAGGAATATTCTAATGTCCCTTCCCTATTTATTTTTTCGCCACTTATATATTTCATGTCCATGAATTTTTTGAGGGAATTCCATAGTATTATTTTTTATAGTTTCACTAAATTCAATTCAATATCGGTTAATTAAAAAAAAAACGAAAACAAAACTTCACAAGGAATTATAAAAACCTCAAAAAAAAGTGTTGACAAGAACGATGACTGCAATATAGCGAGATTACCAGTTTGACAGAATAAAACATAACCAAAGGTCATAGAAAATAAGAACGCTGGCTGTGTTTGTGGCACTTCTATATTATTAGGGGATTCCCTTAAACTCGTAAAGGCTTAAACCGTATAAAACTCGCAAGTTTACGAGGCTTTTATGGGAATGCCCCCTTTGCGAAAAGGTGTAAATAGGTGCGTAAAGTGACTGCTTGACAGATCAACCAGGATTTTGTGAAGCAATTTTTGTTTCGTGGTATTTTCCATAACATCCCGCGATCTTGTCAGTTAAAAATGCCGAAAATTAGCAGAAAACCTAATTCAATACAGTTAGTGGATGAAATTCATTCATTTTATTCGCGTATTATTTTTTGAATTTATTTTATTATACATTTTAGTATAAAAATTTACGAGCTTTACGAGGTTTACGAGGCTTTTACGAGTTTAAGGGAGGACTCTTTCTATGTTCTTTGTGATAACGAAAGGGCTGCCACGTTTGTACTATAAATTGTTTTTGGGCTAGGGAATAATTATTAAAAAATTAGTATATCGGAATTTTAATTTAAGTATACATACGTGACTTAATATTATAGTTAAACGAGTAACGTGCAGTTAAAATCTGCTTCCGAGATACGCCGTCGATATATTTGTCAAGAGTGTAGTCCGACATGGAAAGAGAAGTGCTTCGAGTAAATTTAGAACACTAATCGTTTAGCTTAAAATCGTTTTGCGATGTTTATGCAATTGATTACGAAATAACGAAATGACGCAATTAAAACTTTGTTAATTTTGAAATTTTAGATTTAAGTGATTTTTGTTTTGTTTGTAAATCAAAAAGAAAATTTTATTCATTCAACTTTTTTCATTTTTGTAAACAATTGAGTTGAGTATCAATAAAATATAACGACTGCCGTGCTTTTTTGAACTCGGCCAAAATCGCTTGGGCGGTTACAGCGCCAAATAAGAAGAAAAGTAGTAGCTATCAGCAGTTTCGAACGTCAGAAATCTACTAGACAGGCACAGAAATTTTTTGGCATGGTTAACTACTATCACCGATATATCAGGGACATCAACAGTTATAAGTTTTATCAGTAAAACGTTGATCCATAACAGTTAGTAGATTAGAAATATTTTTTATTTATAACCCAACCCCCAATAAACTTAAGTAAATTGATTCTTTCCAAGAATAAGCGCCATCTTGCCTTTCTAAGTGTACATAAAATACAAAATACATAGAAACGTATTTATCTCTTGTGTATTAACAAAAAATTTACAATTTCTAAAAATACAAATGTGCTACAAAAAAATATGCAGGGGTTCTCATCAGGGTTTCCGTTTTGGGCTTTCCCTACCAAAATTGGTAGGTTTTTTTTCTCGATTGTGGAATGGTAGGACGCTTAAAATTTTGGATAGGTTTCTTTGCTCATAAAACTGAAAACATCTCTGGCTTGTTGTAATGTGTCACTTTGTCAGCACTGTGAGTAGGCTTGCTAAATTTAGACAATATCAATTTTACCCTCATTCATTTAAAAACCTCGTTGCTGAGAATGTTCGGAGTGTTCGGTGTGTGCAGACGTACTTTTATTTCGCTCTGTTATTTTATTATATTTTCTTTCGTAAGGGAGAACTTTTGCGGAAAATGTACTAAAGCCTTTTCAAGATCTGATGCTAATCTGCTGCCGTGTAATGGGTTTTGTAAAACAACTTTTCATCGTGTTTGCTGTAAAGACATTTCTGAATATGATTTAAATTTGGTCAAAACTAAACGTAACCTATTATATCTTTGTCATGAGTGCGTTGTCATGCCAGATAAAGTCATTAAAGCTCTCAATGCAGTTCTTGTAACTCAAAAGCTTAGTATTGATCGTATTTCAAACACTTTTGATGCTAAATTCAAAGATTTATCGAAACAATTTGATGCAATAAAAGATCTAATAATTTCCTTGCATCCGACCAACAACAACTCGAGTGCAAATAACCTGAACGCTGTGAATGCTGATATGATGGCTGCGGAATTCAATGCCAGAAAAACAGCTGCTAATGTTTATTTATTTATTTTATTTATTTTAATATATTTATAATCTAGAAAATATACAGGTTTCTTACAGATTATTATGTTCTAGAAAAAAAGTATCGTGGTTTCGAAGACTTCTTATAGGAATATTGAATAAAATGCGTTCTAGTAAGAAAGGACGGTCAATCGCCCCACGTACAATGTCAAAGACAAAATGTTAAGTTGATTAGCTGACATCTAGCATTATAAGGAGGAATCGGATCAGTAAAATGTAAAGAGCGCAGGGAAATCGAATAAACATTTTTTGTATTCGTTCAAGTCTCCTTATATGGCAGTCAAAATATGGTCTCCAGATGAAGACAGCGTATTCCAACTTGGAGCGCACAAGTGAGGTAAACAACAGTTTCAAGGTGTAAGGATCACTAAAATCTGAACTAAATCGGCGAATGAAAGCACACATGGAATATGACTTTGCTATAGTGCAGTTTAGGTGGCTCTGAAACCGGAATTTAGAACCAAAATCACACTGCCATCGGAAATTTCACTCACTGTGCTTAGCCGGGAACTACCAATGTAATATGACGTAGGGATAAGGGAACGTGATTTAGTGAAAGAAACATGAAAGCACTTTTTTATATTTAAATGTAATTGGTTTTTACCACACCAGGAAGCAACATTAATAAGATCCGATTGGAGCTTATCAGAATCTAAACTACTTGAAACAGTTGAGAACACTTTCAAGTCGTCATCATATAAGAGAAAGTTCGAGTGTTTAAAGCAGTTAGAGATGTCATTAATAAAAATGAAGAATAGTTGGGATCACTTTTCCAGTTGGGGTTTTTATTTGTAACTTGCACATTCGGAACAGACTGCATAGGTGGCGAAACAGGCGAAAGCGCGACAGCATTTGCATAAGACATAGTAGTCTGAGAATGCAGAGACAAAGCAGGCAGAGAAAGCCCATGCAGAGCAGCAGAGCTTGGCGTTGTCATCACACTAGTTGTTTTAGTGTTAGCATCCCGTAAAAGCAACGAGACTGATGTGCACTCAGCGGAATTGGTAAAAGATGTTGTTTTCGTAGCTACTGCATTATTGGGAGCAGCACCGGCAGATACGGCAGCTCCACTGAGCGACGTGGGAGCAGAGGAAGAACTAAATGACGTCGTCTTGTTCGCAACGTCAGTGATAGCAGCTTCAGTGTTCGCAGCAGCGGCGACCGGAGACGAAACAGCAGGTGAGGAAGAATACGCAACTGCAGGCAAAGAAAAAGCAATACGAATACATTTTATTTCCAAAGTAAGTAACGATATGCTAGCATCTCTATTATTGAGTTTAGTCTGCAGTGAAAGAGTTTGAGCATGCAGGGCATCGAACTTTTGCATTAGCTGCTTCTTATCATCATGCAATGCATTCACTAAAGATAATACACGGGCATTCTCACTTCTAAGGGCGGCAATTTCTTTAAAAACTGCAAGCAAGGTAACTTGCTGCTTGTTATTGAGTTCGTTTGAACTTCCGATTGTATTCCTTTTTTGAGAGTCAGACGAGACTAAGTTAACAACATTCTCAGCCGAGGCTGCGGATGGTGTAGGCAAGCGATTCGATTTACGGCGCTCATACAGGCAATGTTTGCAAAAAAACGGCTTGTCAGCCGAAAGAAGAAAATCAAGATCAGCCGGCAAAACACCAACACAGTCTAAATGAAAAAACCCTTTGCATCCCGCACACAGCACCATAGGTTGGGCGCGATCAACCTTTTGACCGCACAAGCAAGGCATATTAATAATAGAATTTTATCAAACAATTTTATTGTGAATAAATCACTAAGTTAGGAGTCACTGTCTCAATGAAGCACCATACCAGCACCAATAAATAAAAGATACTTGGAATATTGGTAAATTAGCGCACTAAGCGGAGCGATTAGAAAACACGTCCGAACAGTAGCACGTCTAACTTGTTAACTTCTTACAACAATAACTACTTTTGTTCCTCGCCTGGTGTTTTTGAGTTTTCCGCTGTCCCTCATCCATTTAATTCGCCACGAGCACAGTTTGTGAGTAACGTTAACGGTATCTCTGCCGCTCGTTTGGATTCTGCTGTGACAATCGCTACAGCTGTCAATACACTTGTAACAAACGATAGCACATACACCTCTGTCAAGAGGAGTGCAAAACTATCGCGCTCTCCGGTGAGAAAGCAACTACGCNAGCACAGTTTGTGAGTAACGTTAACGGTATCTCTGCCGCTCGTTTGGATTCTGCTGTGACAATCGCTACAGCTGTCAATACACTTGTAACAAACGATAGCACATACACCTCTGTCAAGAGGAGTGCAAAACTATCGCGCTCTCCGGTGAGAAAGCAACTACGCTCTGCTGGACTCTTGCCCACTGAGCAACAACAGAAAGTACGCGAAATACAAGCGCATAATGGCTTTAAGGAAGGCGAGAATGAGCGAATGATGGAGAGGAGAGAGGATGCACTAACACTACTAGGCGAGAAGATCCGTGAGCTTATCAACATGATCGAAGCTCAGAGCCGTGTCAACATACCCATGAAAGATGTTACATCTACATCTCCAAAAGAACTAATTGGTCGGACGCTACAACAACAACCGCTGCAGATTATCAACGAGGGAATAACAAAAACCCACGGTAGTGCACCGCCTACAGATCAAAGCGCGGCAACAGGCCCAGCATCCAGCCAATCGGAGGAGCAGTAGACTGAAGTAAAGACTGAAAGAACTTAGTGCTAATGTCAAGAATATCCGAAAGACGGCCAAAAATTAGTTGCTCTTTGAGCTGAAAAAACCACGACCCTGCTACCCAGAAATTTAAAACTGCGGCTGAGCATATACTTGGGGAAAGCGCCCATGTGCGCTCGCTTACTCAAGAGTCTCTTCTAGAGGTGAAGGATATAGATGAGGTAACGACGAAAGACGAGGTGTCTAATCTGGAACCAACGGTAATCCGCTCAATGCGTGCTGGCTATGGGGATACGCAAATATGCACCCTTAGCCTGCCGTCAGTGATTGCCCGAGAGCTAGTAGGAAAAGCCAAAATACGCATAGGCTGGGTCAATTGCCGAATAAGGTCTAAAGAAGTTCTGACGAGATGCTATAGGCGTCATGATTATGGGCACATGTCTAGAAACTGTAAGAGCGCAGGAACGATCCGCGCTATGTTTTAGATGCGGAGGAAAGGATCACAAGGCTAGAGACTACAAATTCACCATCTTGTTTCCCCTGTGCCAAAGCTGGTGAAAGTAGTACAAGACACGCGACCGGTAGTCGTATGTGCGCCGTCTTCCAAAGAGCAAGAGGAAAACAACAGCACCAATGAAATTTCTGCAGTTGAACCTTAATCACTGTCCAGCAGCGCAAGATCTGCTCAACCCAACCGTATACGAACTTGGTATCGATATTGCGATCCTTAGCGAACAATATAAGAATAAAAGCGAAGCGTTTTGGGCTAGCAACACAACCAGTAGGTGCGCGATATGGAGCTGCGGAGCTCCCGACCTGTCCTTTATAAGTGGAGGACTAAGCGGAACCACAAACTGGTACATAAGCAATGCTTACACGCAAAGCGATCACAAGGCCATAATCATAAGCATTGAAAAACAGAGCCGCAACAACACCGCTGCCACGAGTGGAAAACAAAAAGCTTCGACGAAGAGCTGTTCGAAATAGTCTTCGGTGAAGTAAAAATAACCACCGTCGAGAAAGCGCCGAAAGAACTGATGAAAGCACTCAAAAGTGTATGCGATATTTCGATGGCGAGAAGGAAACGACACAATACACGCAAACCCGCTTATTGGTGGAATGATGAAATTGGCGATCGGCGAGTACAATGCAACCGGGTCAGAAGAGTGTGTCAGCGTGTTCGCACACGCAACGAAGCAAATGCCGTTGAGCCTAGGCTGGTCTATAAATAAAAGCGAAAGCTCTTAAAAAACGCAATACGTGACAGCAAGCGCAAAATTTTCAGCGATCTGTGTGAAGATATTAGCAATAACCCGTGGGGACTCGCCTACAGGATAGTCATGAAAAAGCTAAAACGCACAACACAACCAACATGCCCTGTTCTGCTGGCTCAAATCGTACAGGTCCTCTTTCCGGCTCTACTTGATTTCGTAAGGCCAACGCCCCGTGCTTTCACTGCTATCCCTTGCATAACCATTGATCCTGAGAGCTGGCAGAAACATACCTTTACACAAAGCTCCAGGGCCCGATGGGATCCCGAATATAGCCCTAAAAAAGCCATTGAGATAAAGCCGTGCGCATTTGCTAGCGCTTTCAAGACGTTCCTTCAAGAGGGCATATTCCCGAACATCTGGAAACAGCAGCAACTTGTCCTTATACCGAAAAAAACAAATCCGTCGGCACCTTCTGACTACAGGCCACTCTGTATGCTCGACTCCACGGGGAAGCTATCCGAGCAGATAATTAAAAACCGCTTAGAAACTCATGTAGATAGACATCTATCAGAAAACCAGTTTGGCTTTAGAAAAATGGGCTTTACGACTGATGCGATCGAGCTGGCAAAGTACATAGCGGAAAAAGCGATTGAAGGCAAACGTTGGCTGTGAGGCACAAAAGAATACTGCCTGGTTGTTACGCTAGACGTAAAAAATGCATTAAATAGTGCTCCTTGGAAGGAAATCCGTCCCGCATTACGAGCCCTAAGGTCGCATTATACCTGCAAGCCATTCTGGGGAGCTACCTCAGTAACCATACCCTCAGATACAGCAGTGACAATGGGTCTAAGGATTATGCACTCACGGCCGGAGTACCACAGGTATCGGTGCTTGGAACATCATGTATGATGGAATCCTACGCCTATCCACCCCAGATGGCGCCACTTTGGTTAGATTTGCAGACGATGTCTCAGTCGTGGTCACCGGGAAAACACTAGCAGAAGTAGTGGCGATTGCGGAAAAGTCTAATCAGTGCGGCACAAGAATGGCTATGTGCGAGATCCCTCACACTTGCAACGCACAAAACAGAAGCAGTTCTTATAAGCAGCCGCAAAAAAGTGGAAGGTGTAACACTAACTGTCGGAGGGAGTGTAATCTCATCAAAGCCCTACGTAAAATACCTCGGGGTATTGATAGATCATCGTTTATGCTCCCGAGATCATCTCAACGACGTCAACGAGAAGGCGGCGAGGGTAAGTCATCTTTGTCCACACTGATGGCAAACATTGGGGGACCTAAGCAGCAGTCTAGACGAGTACTAGCAGGGGTAGTTAGATCCATACTCATGTACGGATGTACAATCTGGTACGACGCATTTAAACGCTCATCGTACGTTCAGGGTATGAACGCAACTTATCGCTTATGCGCATTAAGAGTATGCTCTGCATACAGAACAGTTTCAGAAGACGCAGCACTTGTCATCTCCGGGAGGCTCCCACTTGACCTATTGGCGCAGGAAGCAGTTGAAAAAAGAAAGGATAAGCACGAGACTCGCACCCCTTTATTGCGACAAAACAGCATATCGCAATGGCAAGCGCGGTGGAGTTGCGCAACAAAAGGCAGGTGGACACATCGCCTCATCCCTAATATCGATGATATAATATATAATATAATATCTACCTAACACAAATCCTTAGCGGGCATGGATGTTTTAAGGCCTACCTTCATCGCTTTGGGCATGGAAGCAATCTATACTGCGACTACTGTGGTCCTGATGAGATAGAGGATGCGTAACACGTACTCTTGTCCCCGATTCAGCACCCAGAGAGAAAAGCTCAATGAACGTCTCGGCAGCGTAGTTACACCCGAAACACTAGTCCCACTGGCATTGCAAAGCCAATACGCTTGAAAGGAATGTAAAGCCACCTGTGCCCTAGTTATGCGGCAACTTCGCAACAGCGAGCAAGTGAGACGTAGGGAAGAACGAGAGGCGAGGTAGGAAGCAGGCCAGATAAAATGCCCGTTTTCCTAGAAAAGTTACGGCACGAAGAGGGCGAGCCTCTCAAAAAACTGTATAAGCAGCAATAAATCGCTGCACCCGGACATTACTAGATTTACAAACGAACTTCTTAGTTGAAAAATACCAAGGGGGTGGGTAGGTTTAATGCCAAACCAAGACGAACTGTGGGTGGAATCATGTGAACAGTAACGGACGTAGAGCTTCGTGCTCAAACCGCCTCCCGACGAAATACTTAACGGTTGTGCCGGGGGGATCGGTACATAGACGGTAGGAGGTTTAGTGGGTTAAAGTCTCACTCTGACGCTTTTTTGGGGTTAGGCTTTCGATGCTTCCTCCTCTGAAAAAAAAACCTGTTACTGCGCCTACATCGCTGTCATCTGTTGTTCTTCAATCTACATCTGCTGTCTCTCTTAGCACTGCTTCTACTAGACCAGGGATGGGCAGAGTTTTGGCTCTTAAAGCCGTCAAAGAGCCAGCAAGTGCTACGCAAGAGCTAAATCAGTTGTCAGGGTAAAGTGGTGTGCAAAATACATTAAAAACATCATATATATTAGTAATGAGAGTCGCAGTACAAGAAATTTGAATACGCTCTTCTTCCCCCTTCATGCTGGCTCTTGATGTTACCCCTCATCTACCACCTATGTAAATGTGCCAAGCCGGCTCCTAAGTGCAAAACACTGCTGGGAGCCAATTTGCCCATCTCTGTACTAGACCATCTCTGAATGTAAGACTCCGATCTGTTATCCTGATATGCATCATAATCCCCTTATTGTTTCTTTAGTGTGTTTTGATATGCTTCCCTTAAGGCAAAATAATAGGATTTCCTACAATTTTCGTGATGCAAATTACGACGTCATAAACCTGGCTATAAATAACGTAAATTGGTGTGATATCTTCAATTCAAAAGATGTTAATGCCTCTTATGAAGCCTTTCTTTGCATTATGTCTGAAGTCTTCTCTGAGCAACTGGCTCCAAGCCTCATAAATTACCCTGGTAATCTGTCACTGTAAAATATATGAAAAATAAGAGAAATAAATGCTACAAGCGCCATATGGCAAATATTCACAATGCTCATCTCAAAGAGCAATACCTTAACTATGCGAAACAGTTTAATGTTCTTGATAAATTTCTTTATAACCAGTACATTAGGAGACTCGAATCTAAACTTAAAAGACAACCCAAAGGCTTTTTGGAATTTCGTACGGTCTAAGCGGGGCAGTTCTAATATTCCGACTTGCATGTACTTTAACGGTCAATCTTCGAAATCCCTACCAGATACTGTGGAACTTTTTGCAAAAATTTTCAGCTCGAATTTCGCTTGTGAGAGTGATTCTATAAATCTACCACGAAATTACTGGCCGACCCAACGCCTAGATCTTGGTTCGTTGATTGTCTCGACATCTGTCATTACTTACGCCATGTCTACCCTAACTCCGACATTGAAATGTGATTCTGATGGTTTTTGTGCCCACTTCGTTAAACGATGTAGTCTGTTTTTATGTATTCCTTTATGTCATATATTCAACCTATCACTTTCGACTGGATTATTTATTAACAGATGGAAAATTGCCTCTATAACGCCAGTCTTTAAATCTGGAAATAGAAATTAAATCACAAATTATAGGCCTATTTCGAAACTGTCTGTCTGCTCAAAGCTATTCGAAAAAGTGATACATTTTAAACTCTCTTTTCTTGCCAAAAGAATGATTGAGCCCCACCAACATGGTTTTGTATCTGGTCGTTCAACGGTCACTAATTTAGCTTCTTTTTCAGAATTATGTGTTTCTTCCTTCAAAAACGGCTCGCAGGTAGACACCATTTATACGGACTTTTCTAAAGCCTTCGATAAGGTATCACACCTGTTATTGCTACACAAGTTGGAGTGCATTGGTATTCACTCTAATTTCCTAGCTTTGTTAAAGTCTTACCTTACAAATAGGACTCTGTGTGTATATATATTGTAAATCGAATCCCTTTGTTGTAACATCAGGTGTACCCCAGGGTAGTATTCTTGGCCCCCTATGGTTCGTCCTGTTTATAAACGATATTAGCTCCTGTTTCAAACACGGCAGTTCTTTATTGTATGCCGATGATTTAAAACTCTTTCGTAGAATAACCTCCTCATCTGATGTTCTCTTTCTTCAGGAAAATTTAGATCGTCTTTTAAATTGGTGTGAATATAATAAACTGTCTTTGAATGTAAAAAAGTGCTTTAAGATGATCTTATCTAAATCTCAAAATACCCTTACTTCAAATTACTACCTCTTACACCATCAGCTTACCTCTGTTAGTGAATTTGTTGATCTTGGTGTCGTGTTTGACTCGAATTTTTCATTTATAAATCATGTTTGTCATTTACTTCCAAAAGTTTATAGTAATTTACCATATTTTCGTAGATATGCCAAGGATTTTAGAGACCCTTACACTCGGAAAGCATAATTTAATTCCTTAGTGCGATCTAAACTTGAGTATGCCTCTATAATATGGATCCCTATTTATAATTGTCACGCCTCTAGGATTGAGCGAGTTCAAAAGGTGTTTATTCGATTTGCCCTCGCTTCTCTTAACTTCTCAGATCCGATTCCCTCATATTACTCCCGGTGTAAACTAATAAATTTGCTATCATTGGAAAATAGAAGGCGTACCCAATTACTCTTATTCGTCTTCAATCTTATCTCTGGCTCCATTGACTGCCCATCTCTTCTTGAGCAGGTTACCTTTAATGTGCCTCTCAGAACTCCTCGCTCTCGCATCCCCTTTTACGTTCCTGCCGTTAAGACTAACTACTAATTTTTTGCGCCTATTTTTCGAGGCCTTGTGGAATTTAATAATATCTCAAAGAGCTTAGATATCGACTTTTCGTTTCCAAGAAGTCTTTTTAAATCATCTCTTGAAACCTATTTTCGTAATTGTACATATACTAATCACCGTTAATACTTTTTAGCCTACTTCTAGTCTGTAAGATTGTAATTCATAGACTGAATAAAGATGAATATGAAATATAGGCAGAATTCTACCAATTACTTTCGGAAATTCTCTGAACTCTATATACGTATGAAAAGTCTTATCCACTGCGTATCTAAATATCAAGTGATTAAATTGATGGATGTAACATGTGACATGTAACATGTGGACAATAGCGATAAAAATAAACGCATGCATCCCCACATAGTATTTGTCTATTAATAGGCAACATCAAAATCAACACTCGGCGTACATAAGCCGTGGAAAAATGCCTACATACTTGTGGATTTTAACATTAAAATTGACAGCGAACAGATTACAGATTAACATGTGGCAACTGGTCGGTTGCTAACAAGCCAGGCGTAAGTTGCAATGCGCATGCGTGAATGGCTTCAATGCAAATAGCAAAATCGTAAAATGCCTCATTGCGCGGCGAAATCCGCACCGTTGATGAGTGACAAACCAACGACAATCCAACGACAAATTCATGAAATTTATTTGTAGCACCTTTTGCAAAAGGTACAACAACAGCAACAAGCGCACCTGTGTGTTATTTACACTGAGAAAAAGGATTAGTTTCGACAACTAAAGATATTTAGTTCCCGAATTTTGACAATATTTGGGAACTGTTACCAAGGATTGGGAACTATTACCATCGATTGGTAATTATAACTAAATATATTAAAGCTTCTAATATTCATCTAGGTTGTAACAAATCGTTAATTTAGTTGAAGGGTTTGGTTAATACTAATAAATATTTCTTTGAAGCATATTTCTACAAATTCCATTCAACTTAACGTATGGTTCATAAAAGGATGTTATTAAGCTCTGCTAATGCAGATAAGCTTTCTTTCAACACGTGGTTTAGTCATAGTTACCAAATCTTAGTTGAGGCAACCACGATTTGGTTTGAGAGTGGAACATATTCATGCTTGTGAGCCACCCCTAAAGAATGCTGAGCGCTCTCTGAGCACATACGAAGAGCGCCAGCTGAGCAATGCACACAGTCCCACTTATTGAATCGTTTGAATGCGCTAGTATGCCGACCATTGCATTGTGCGTGGAAATCATTGCTCCGCTACCGCTGTTCGTATATGGGTGAAACACGCATGTGGTCCCAGAGCGCTCAGTAAGCTATGGCATGTCGATCGCTGCGCCATGTGTGCTATGACATGCCCATACTTGTTTGTCAAAGTTTCAGTTTTGCTATCATCGCGGGTTGTTTCGGTGCGCGCATAGTTTAAAGTTTAATTAAAAATATAAAGTTTGATGCCAACCGGGGTTTTTCAGTGGATATATAATTCATGTGAA